CAGAAGACAGGAACTCCATCTGGGTCTCCCACGTGGGTGCAGGGGCCCAAGCACTTGGGCCATCTTCCACTGCCTTTCCAGGCGCATTATCAGGGAGCTGGATGGGAAGTGGAGCAGCTAGGACTCAAACCAGCACTTATGGTGTGCTGGTGCCGTAACCCACTGAGCCACAACACTAGCCCCATGGGGCCAGCATCCCATATGGGAGCACCAGTATGGCATTGCAAGCCTCTGGCTTCGGCCTGGCCCAGGCCCTGGCCGTTGCAGCCATTTGGGGAGTGAACCAGTACATGGAAGATCTCTTTCTCTCTCTCTCACTCTCTGTCACTCTGCCTTCCCCATAAATAAGAAATATACCTTTAAAACACTCAGACCAGCCAGGGCTGGCATAGAAGGTTAATCCTACGCCTGCAGCACCAGCATCCCATATGAGCTCCCGGTTCAAGTCCCAGCTGCTCGTCTTCCAGTCCAGCTCTCTGCTGTGGCCTGGGAAAGCAGCAGAAGATGGCCAAGTCCTTGGGCCCCTGCACCCGTGTGGGAAACCCGGAAGAAGCTCCTGGCTCCTGGCTTTGGATTGGCTCAGCTCCAGCCATTGCAGCCATTTGGGGAGTGAACCAGCAGATGGAAGATCTCTCTCTCTGTCTCTCCCTCTCACTGTCTGTAACTCTACCTCTCAAGTAAATAAATAAAAAAAAAAAAAAACTTAAACACACACACACACACACTCAGACCATATAAGATTTGGGGGAGTGCTAACGTGAAGTCATTAAAAGCAGCAGGGGTCAGGGTGGAAGGGTACTGACTGCAAATGGATTGTGAGGATGGTGGCACCGCTCTGTGAACTGACTGTAGAGACACCAGTAACTCCTACCCTTATCACGAGTGACCTTTACGGCATACAAATTACACCTCAGCCAAGCAGCTAAAGAAAAACAACCCTATCTCCAAGTCTAATTTAAAAATAGAGCATGGGGCGGGCCCAGGGTTGTGGCACAGCAGGTTAATGCAAGGCTGGAATCCCACACAATGCTGGTGCTAGTTCAGGTCCTGGTGCTCCTGGGAAAGAGTGGAAGATGGTCCAAGTTCTTGGGCCCCTGCCACCCACGTGAGAGACCTGGATGGAGTTCTAGGCTCCTGGCTTTGGCCTGGCCCAGCCCTGGCTGTTGCAGCCATTTTGGGAGTGAACCAGTGGATGGAAGATCTCTGTCACTCCGCCTTTCAAATGAATAAATAAATCTTTTAAAAGAGCTGGAATGAGCATGGCAAAAGGTAGAGCTCTGACAGTTGGAATAGAGACAGGTGGATATTTCACTCCTTCCACAGATCTGTAAATACTGCACTAACAGAATGAAAAATCACCCATTACAAAGGGCTGCTGTGAAAACCATACGAAGCCTCATCCCAAGCCGGGCCCAGGGCACTGAAGGCACTCTGGCTCCCGTTATTGCCACTGTCAGGATTAGGCCACCTTCCTGAGGTCTCTTCATGCTCAGAGACCTCAAGTCAGAGCAGCCAGCACCGCAGACCCCGGCTGGCCAGCCTCTCTTCCAAACCAAATGCTCTATGCGTCCCCCTGCTGTGCAGGAAATTGGGGTGATCCAGATCCTCCAGGGAGCTCTCCTCCCCTCAAGCCAGAAAACATCCCAGCTGGGAATGGTCTCCCCAGCATGTTCATTCCTAAACCCCAGGGCTCTGGGCAGGAAAGGCCCTGGCAGAGAAAGGCAGCCGTTGTCCATACAAGTCTTCCCCTCCCTGCCTCGGGCACAAGCTCTAGGGAGTCCAAACAGTAACAACATCGTGGGTATCCGGATCTCAGGGACCCTGCCCGGGCTGTGGCTCTGCCCACAGCTGGATGAGGCTGGGACCAGAGGGGACATCATCCTGATTAGGGAGAAAACGCCAGTCCAGGTGGAAGAGGTGGCCCAGCCCTGAGCTCCAGGTGCAGTTCTGCCATGACTCCTGCAACACCTGTGACCTAGTCCCCTCCCAGGTAACTGAGTGCTAAGCATGCGGTAGCCAGGTAGCTCCAAGTGACAAGTGCAAGTTGTGTGTGTGTAGTGGGGAGGGATTCTGGGGACCAGGACTCTCCAAAATGGATGTGCACATTCTGGGGCAGCGGCTGGGTAAGGAGTGTGTGATGCCATCCCCATCCCTTAGATGGTCACATGCTAGATAGTTTCCCCCCATGTGGCAGAGGCCAGGTAGTGGAACCTTTAAGAGGTGGAGTCTAGCGGTTAGGCCACAGAGGGTATTGCCTCTGGAAGGGATCAAAGCAATTCTCCTGGGACCTGGTTAGTTCTCCAGGGAGCCGGGATGTTACAGAAGAGGAGGGCTGGGTCCTGCAGACTCTCTGGCTTCCTGTCTGGCCACAGATCTCTATCACTCATCAGTGTTCCCCCAGCATGCCATTCCTCAGGCCGTAATGCAGCCAAGGGGGGCCTCGCCAGAGGCCAAACTGATAGGGTTGCCCAATCCTGGACTTTAAGCCTTGAAAACCTTGAGCCAAATGAACCCTCTTGCATTTTTCAAAGAACCCAGCCTCAGGGTTTTGTTCTAGCAACCAGAAAGGTCCAAATACACAGTGACCAGTGCCTGGAGACATCTCAGGTTATCACAAGCAGGGGAGAGCACACTAAGGAAGCCAGGGAGGCTGGGAAACATCCCACAATGCACAGGACAGCCGCTGGCCGCAAATGATCCACCCCCAACGGCAGCAGCTGTGTTGAACTTGAGACACCCGGCCCTTGCGGGATGTGGCAGCATTACAGGGTGCAGAGCATGGAAGCTGGAGCTCAGAGGGGTACCAACCAGGCCCAGGTCACACAGCAGCAAGTGGGGGAGCCAGGACTGCGGGCTGCCCTGCTTGTGTTCATTCTCTCTCGCTCTCGCTCTTGGCTTCAGACAGGGGGGTGGCAAATGGGAGCTCAGGTCCAGGCCGGCCACAGCGGGCTCCCCGTCCACTCCTTCCAGAGTGAGTGGGGGGCAGGGTGGGGCCTGGGGACAGGAGTGTGGCCGCAGTCTGCTTCTGACCCAAGAAGCTGGCGAGAGGGAGAGAGCCCCTGAATCACATGAATGACTAAAGCCACACGCAGGACAAGGTCTCCCTGTCCTGTGACTTCAGTGTGTTCCCAGTCAGAGCTATACAGACCACAGCAGGAGGCCGACCCGGCCAGACACAGTGCCACTCCCATCCACGCCCTCACACAGGGGTCAGAGAGGCCCCACAGCCAGTCAGCAGGGGGCCAAGATGCCAACCCTAGCCCAGGTTTTAACCTAGACTCTTGTCTCAAGGGGCTCCTAAAAAGGAGGTTTAGAAGCCCCTCGAAACTACAAAACGTTTAAAACACTGTGGCAGGGGGAAAAAGCTTCCAGCTTCCCACAAATATGGAAGCGTTCCCAGTTTTTCAGAGCGTTTTGCTCTGGGGTCCAGGGGCTGGTGTGGCCTGGTGGAATATCTCTGTAGGGGTCCCACAGACCTGGGCTTCCAGCCCTGCGCTGCTCCCGATGTGACCCCCCCCTCCCTGAGCCTCAGCTTGCTCATCAGTCAAATGGGCTTACACATGGCCACCTGAACTGTGTGTGACAGGAGGGGACAGCAGAGCAGTGGCCGGGATCTCTTCCCAGATCTGGTGGGAGGTGGCATGGAGAATATTCCAGACCTCCTGCTGCTGCCATGTGGGTGCACACTGTCTTCACAGCAAAGAGGCAACTCAGCCGCACACTCAACAGGCTCCAGCAAGAAACCAAGATTTGGCAGCATTCGTAACAGTCAAGGGGGAAAAAAAAAAGACCATTTAGCCAGGCTCTGGAGTCCAGGGGAACTTCTTTCTATTTAGAGAAACCACAGGTCCAGGAAACAGTTTCCCACTGCCTGCCCAGCCCGGCCAGGGGCTGCCCCAGCACTCCCCGCCTTGTGGATTTGCAATTTCACAGGCTGTTCACGCCAGGTGTGGGAATGGGCTTTATGGGAAGGAGCTTTTTAAGCAAGGCAGGCCCCAAGGAGGCCAGGGAGCTGCACCGGGCCAGACCACGCCCTTTGCTAGTCATTGTTCTACACTTCTTTGTTAGGATTTTTTCCCTCCTTCTTGCTCTTTTTCCCTTCCTGGTCAACTTCTGCTCTGTCACCCCTCCATCCCCTTCACCACCAGAGACACGGCAGCCCCTGCCCTCCAGGGGGAGCCCCTCCCCCAGGGCCACCACTCCACATCCTCATTAGCTGTCCAGGCAGATCCCCCAAAAGGGGGCTGTCTTAGCACCACCTGCACCCGCGGTCGTGGCCCCCAGGCTGCCCCCCGACACCACTTTTCCACGCAGGTCACTGTCCGCCCCAGGCTTGGAAAGCCCATGCAGCTGTGTGTTCCAGGAGCTGCAGCCCCTTGGGAGCCTCAACCTTACCCATCTGCAAAACGAGACTACTGACCCATTTTCTCAAGTCCTTCAACCTGAGCTGGGGTCCACAGAGGGAGACAGCAGGAGAAAAACTTTGGTACATTTTTAAACACAAGTTATTGGGGGAGAGGGACTGTTCTTTAACCCTTTAAGGTGCAGCCACTCAAATAATCCATTTTCCGGGATCTCCCCAAAGGACGGAGCCAAACTTGGCGGTCCCCAGGGAGGCTACCTGTGGCCGGACATTGCGGGCCTGAGCCGTCTGGTCGGCAGGGGACGACGGGGGCGGCCGGGGACCACGCGCCTCTCCCTCTGCCTTTGCGCCCCTCAGTCTTGCACCGGCTGGGCAGGACGAGAGTGCGGGGACAGCCGAGGACGGAAGGGGAAGAGGAGGGGGCGAGGGGGGAAGGGATGGAGCGGAGAACCGGGTGAGGGAGAGGAGGGGGAGGGGAGGGAGGGGGAGGAGGCGGGAGACCCGGGCCGCGCCGCCGCGGCAGGGCCGGGCCGGGCCGTGCAGGAGCGCGAAGCGCCGGAGGCAGAAGTTTTCCGAGGCCGGGGCCCAGGCCGGGGCCGCGGGGCGCGCGCGGGGGCGTGGGACGCGCGGCACTCACATAATGCTTGTTGGGCACCCGCCGCTTCTGCACGTCCAGCACCTTCACCTCCACGATGCTGCGGCGCGGCGGCATGGCCGCTCCTGCGCGGGGCCGGGCTGGGGGCGCGGGGAGCGGACCAGAGCCGGGGCAGAGCGATCCGGAGCCCGGGCCGAGCACGAGCAGCCGCCGCCGCCGCCGCCCTTCGCTCCGCGCGCCCTCCGGCCGGGCCCACTCCACCGCCCGCCCCGGCCCGCCCCCGGCCCGCCCCCCGCGCTGCCGGCCCGCCCCCCTTAAAGGGCCCGGCGCGCGGCCCCCGCCGGCCACGTCCGGCCCCCGCCGCGCCTTTGTCCGGGCGCTGAGCGCCGCCCGGGAGGCAACCGGTTCGCGCGGGCCGGCCACGCGGTGACTGACGCGCCGGAGCCTTCCCGCACCCACTTGCTGGGGAGATGGGGCAGCCGAGGGCCGGGGCTCATGGCCAGACTCTGCTGCCCAGCCTCTGTGATCTTGGGGAGGTTGTTCACCTCCCCCGGCTTGGCCTCATCTGTAAAATGGGCTCGCGTTACTGCCTGCCAACCGGGGCTGTCCTCCAGTGGAACGCATGCATGCCCGCCGCAGCCAGCATAAATGCCTGCCCACCGGGCCTGGGGATTCAAGGGGGAGCCGGGAGCCAGCGTCCAGGCCTCCCGGGTTTCCAGTCTGGGAGCTGGGGGGAGAGAGAGAGAGACAAACTGCAACCACCGTGTGCTATAGGATTGTACTGAGAGCTGTGGCGCAGGCCTCCGTGTTCTCGGTGGCGGAGCCCCTCCCGGCGCCAGGCGCAGGCATACGCTTTGGGGAGAGCCTTGCCTTGAGTTCCCCTGGAGAGCTCTGGGAGAGGTGACTGAACCCATTCTACAGAGCACGTCACTGTGTGCGGCCACCGCAGAGCCGGTAGACCGGGCGCGGCCCCCGGCTCTAGCCAGTTAGCAGGAGTTGAGGCCGCCTGGCTGGGGCTCCCCCCCCCCCCCCAGTTCTTCATCCAGCGCAGGCTGAGGCACTTTGGGGAGAGGTTGGCTGAAGGAGTGAATGAATGAATGAACCTGAATCCCGCATGCAGGCAGGAGAGGAGGTTACAGCCTTTGGCTGGGGCTCTAGCCAGTGTCCCACAGTGCTCCCCTCTGGGCCTGGCCGAACCTGGAGCTCCTGACAGCGCTGAGATCAAGACTGACCTTTGAAACAGAGGGTGGGGGTTAGCCAGGGGGGAGCCACTCCCCAAACACCCTGGCCAGGACAGTCGGCTGCTGGCTCACTTTGGATGGGACCCACTGTTTGCTCCTGAGGCGTCCCCGCTAGTCTCTGTGGCCTTGCTCTGGCTGGGAGGCCACCCTGTGTGACCGGGTTCCCTGCCCCTGGCTTGGCTCCTGGCTTGGCTGAGGGAGGTGGGGGGGGGGGGGGATGGAGGGCAGGAGGAGAAGGGGTGTGGGTATTTATCACCGAGCTCTCTTCCTGCAGCCTGGACCTCACCAGAGGTGACCTTGCCACCTGCTCGCTCTCAGAGTTCCTGTCACCACCAGGTGTCTGCCCAGGGCGGTCCCAGCCTTGTGGCTGCAAGCCCCAGGTATGGCATCAGCCTTACTGGCCTGCCCTCCTGGGTCGTGTTGAGGATGGTGTCTCGCTGCATTAAGTCCCGTAAGGCACAGTCTTCTGGGATACAGCTGCCCAGTCAGAGGGGCCCGAGGCCGTGCTGGAAGCATCCCGGGTGGTGAAGGAAGGCCTGGCGTTGTAGTGTCTCTGACCTCGCCCTCCGCACGAGCAGCCCTTCCTAATAAGGCAGAACCACAGAGTGCAGAAGCTGCAGGAAAGCCATGAATCAGCCAGTTTCCTCACTTTTCCCAGACAGGAAGAGAGACCTGCCCCCAGGCCACCCCGAGAGCCTGGACCTGGTCCTCAGCCCTGCTGGGTGTGTCCGCAGCTGTGCATGGCTGCCAGGCCTGGGGAGGACCGAGGCAGCCACCCTGCCGCCTGCAGCGGAGATGCTGAGCCTGCACCTTCCCACGCCCTTTCTTTGTCTCCCTTTTAGTTGCAGTAAAATACTCACAACGTAGCATTTAACATTTTCCGTCATTTGAATGCATTAAATCCGTCCACACTGCTGTGCGACCACCACCACCACCCATCTCCAGAACTTTCTCGCCTGGGTACTCTGCACCCCTAAACAAACAACTCCCGATTTCCCGCCTCTCCCCCAGCCCCTTCTGCTTTGCCTCCATGAATCTGATTTCCTTAGATGCTGCCTAGAAGTAGCATCATGGAGAAGCATGTGTGTGTCCTGCTTGTATCACCAAGCACCGCTCTTCAGGGCTCATCCTTGTTGTAGTAGTGTCAGAATTCCCTTCCTTCTATCGCTGAAGAATATTCCACGGTGTATTCTTTCTCCATTTACCTGCCAGTGAGGACTTGGTGGTTTCCACATTTCGACTACTATGACTCACGTTGCCGTGAACGCTGGTGTATCAAAGTCTCTTCAAGTACTTGCTCTCAATTTTTTTGGGTGTATACCAAGAAGTGGCATTGCTGAATCATAGGATAATTTTATGTTTAATTTTCCTGAGTGCCTGCTATCTTGTCTCCCACGGTAATGGCAGCATTGCCATCTCCATCAGCACTGCACAAGGGTTCCTAGGTCCCTACCTCCTTGCCAACACTTGTAATTTTCTGTTTTTCATTTGTTTTTGACAACAGCCATGCTTATGGGCGCGAAGTGGTATTTCCTGTGGTTTTGGTTTGCATTTCCCTAGTGAGTAGCGACAGGTGAGCGTCTTATCCTGTGCATTTTGCCCATTTGTGCAACTTTGAAGAAATACCTACTCAAGTCCTTTGCCTGTTTTTTCACTGGGGCTGTTTGTTTTGCGTCTGTCTGCCACTGACCTCCGAGACACCCTGGGCTTTTTATGAGTGTTCAGCGTATTTTGGGGGAGGAATGAAATGTGGGCTACTTGTGGTCTAGGTTGGTGATTCTGACTGGAAATATGCATTTAGCTTCTGTGTGGGAGCAGTGAGGATGATCTGGTAATACAAATCCCTACTTAGAGGGTCTATGATTTCCCCAGATGGGTTGGGTTCCTTGTCACAAGAACAAAACATTTCTGCAAGTTCAAGTTTATCAGGGAATCCAAACCCAAAGGGGAACTTTTTTTTTTTTTTTAAGATTTATTTAATTAGGGGCTGGTGCTGTGGCGCACTGGGTTAATCCTCTGCCTGCGGCTCCAGCATCCCATGTGGGTGCCGGTTCTAGTCCCGGTTGCTCCTCTTCCGGTCCAGCTCCCTGCTGATGGCCTGGGATAGCAGTAGAAGATGGCCCGAGTGCGTTGCGGCCATTTGGGGAGTGAACCAATGGAAGGAAGACCTTTCTCTGTCTGTCTCTCTCACTGTCTGTAATTCTACCTGTCAAATAAATAAATAAATAAATAAAACCTTTAAAAAAAGAATACATTAAATACTTAATCATGATTTTTAAAAAATGATTTATTTATTTATTTGAAAGGCAGAGTTACAGAGAAGCAGAGAGAGAGAGGTCTTCCATCCACTGATTCACTCTCCAAATGGCTGCAATAGCCGGAGCTGTACCCATCCGAAGCCAGGAGCCAGGAGGCTCTTCCGGGTCTTTCAAGTGGGTATAGGGGCCCAAGGACTTGGGCCATCTTCTACTGCTTTCCCAGGCCGTAGCAGAGAGCTGGATCAGAAATGGAGCAGCCAGGCACTGCCGGTGGCAGCTTTACCCGCTACACCAAGCGCCAGCCCCCAAAAGGGAGAAGTCCTGCCTGGAGCTCAAGTCCTAAATTCAGCAGAGCCCCCAAACCAGTTGTCAGCATCATAATATTTATGGAGGTTTGCTAATGGGGCTGCTCATAGGTTTTGGTGCTGTTGACAGGAGACCTTACTCGACCATAAAAGCTCCAGGAATTAGAGCCTGGAAGGTAAGTGAGGTGAAGGGCTGGCCAGAGACCACAGAGCTGGCCTAGAGAAGGTGTTTGAGGCCAGCCTGGCTCCAAACTGTGCTCCATCACGAATCTGTGCCCAAGACTCGCCCAGCCACTTAGCAAGTGTGTGACACACAGCAAGTCACCTGACCTCCCTATACGGCAGTCTCCTCCTCCATCAGACTGGAATGAAAACAGCTACTGCCCTCGCAGGCTGGCTCGGAGGCTTAAATGTGATAATCTAAGGTGATCCTCAGGTAGGATATGAAAAAGACATGCTGTAAAAAAACAGTGTGGAGTTATCAAGGCTTTTTGCACGAAAATAGGCTTAACTTTTAATTTTATTTTTCCATGAACATTTATAATTTATTTCTTTGAGAGGCAGAGAGAAAGAGAGACAGACAAATAGAGAGAGCCCTGTCCACTGGCTGACTCCCCCAAATGCTCACAATGGCCAGGGGTGCATTAGGCCAAAGCTTGGAGCCCAGACCTCAACCCAGGTTTCCCACATGGGTGGCAGGGGCCCAACTACCTGAGCCATCACCTGCTGCCTCCTGAGGTGCCCTGGAGTGTAGCAGGGACTCAAAGCCTTACAGGATGCTGGCACTGCAGGCAGAGGCTAACCTACTATGCTACAGTGCCGGCCCCGGCAGTGTCGCTCACTGGCCGTGGTCCCCCAGGGGCAGCACAGTACCAGCCGGCTCGCAGTAAATAGCTGTCCAATAAAGGATCCTGTCCTCTCCATAAGAGGGGCAGGGTCTCTTCTTCCCCACCATGTCTGGCCCCTGGTAGCTGTTCAGGGAATTGTGGACTGAATGAATCCACGATGGGACTGGTGAATGGGTGAGCAGATCCACGTGTGTGTGTCGCGTCTGAAAGTTCGTGTTGATCACAGAAAGATTTGGGGTTACATTTTTTGGGCCAGAGGCTTCCAAAGCAGCCCAGCCTGGGGACGCTTGTCTTGTTCCCAAGGGACTGGAGACACTTGCAGAACATATTACTCAGCATTGGGCCACTACCCCAAGCCTGACTGGGTGCACTTCCTAATTTAGCCACAAGGCGGCAGCCTTTCATGGCCACCAATACACCCCTTTGAGAAAATACCATTCAACAAATTGCTCCTTAGCTCTGCCCATACTCCCCACATTCCCAGGGGGCTCTACCTGCCTGGCTACCCCATGTAGCTGCTCTATTGAGTATGAAGATTATGGTTATTGTGGCCCAGCCTTGCCTACTCGGAGAAAATGTACTGGGGCGTGATCCAAAGCTGCA